GCTTTTACATACTTTCCCTGGGCTATCTTGTTAACTCTAGGAACTTCTGCAATAAAAGACATATTCTCCATAATGCTCCCAAACCACATTATTATTTATAACTACCTATGGGACTTACACTGATAACCTACAAATCACTTGATATCAATTCTACTTTACCTCCCTTATTCTCTAACCTCCTCCCCCACATCTCAATTCTTAAACTTTCCAAATGTGGATGCTTCTTATTCAGAATCATCTTCTAGAATTCACTCTCTCATTTTAATTTTCAAGTCTATTAATTATCTTTTTATTCATTTCTTAGACTGTTGTAATTACCATCTGCATATATTTCCTGATACAAAGTGCTCTGTTCGCTCTCCTTGAAAGAGAAAAATAGTACTTGAAATCTCATTTCATCAATGCATTCATGATAACATTCAGCTCCTCAGTTTTTTAGAGACTTTGTCACCTGCTCCCATTTTGACTTACCTGCGTTTTCTGAACTACATGTCCAAATTATTTCTATCACAATAAAAAGTCACACCATTCTACATAGATAATGATTTCCTTGAAAATGTCATGCCTATGTTTTGTATATTCCTTTTTGCTTGCAAAGCTTCACCAGCAACTCTTTAACAATATGCTATTGGCTTTTCATGATACAACCAAAAGTCACCTGGGTGAAGCAATTTTGTATCCTACTACTTCTATGCCTTCTGAAACTTGGTGTCCTCATGAATTAAATGGGAAAATTAAACCTTTTTCACAAGATTGCTAGATAATGTAAATTGCTTATTAATGGATCTGAAACCAACTGAACACTTAATAACACTACTTGAAGTAGTTGTAATAGCAGTATTTGATATGGTAATGATAGTAAGGGAAACTTTTCTAAAAATGCCTCCTTATTTTGTGTTGTGAGTACTTTTTAATATCTCAGACTTGCTTTTACATGTGATACTGCGTTATTTTCAATACGAATGTCATCATTTCCCAATAAACACATTATTTTGAGGGCAATGAAGAACTTAAATATCATTCATTTTTTTCCCTACCTACCTCAGTACACAGCATACATAGTTACTTACCAAATTTGTGCTGTGTGAATAAGGTAGGGCATTCATTTCAGTAGTGAACCAGGAGAATGTCAGTATGTTAAGAAAGGATTATTTTAATTGGCCACAAATCTACAAATCATTCATACTAACAACACACTTCATGATTTATGACCTAAAATATTTCTGCATCTAATACCTCATTTATTTGTCACACAACCCCCTGAAATGGGAGATTATTGTTAAACACATTTCACAGTTGAAGAAACTAACATAAGGCTTAAATCACTTTCTCAGTTGACATAAGAAATAACTGATGGAAAGCTTAGAGTAAAACAGAAATAATATTTCAATATTCAACATGAATAGGATTCCTTTGATAATAGTCATTCCACTTTTTTCAGTCATTTGACACATTTATTTTTACTGAGATCAATCTAAAATTTTTTTTTTTTTACAGGCAGAGTCGACAGTGCGAGAGAGAGAGACAGAGAGAAAGGTCTTCCTTTTTCTGTTGGTTCACCCCTCAATGGCCGCTGCGGCCAGTGCACCACGCTGATCTGAAGCTAGGAGCCAGGTTTTCTCCTGGTCTCCCATGCGGGTGCAGGGCCCAAGGACTTGGGCCATCCTCTGCTGCGCTCCCGGGCCACAGCAGAGAGCTGGACTGGAACACATTTTATTAAGTATGTTGCTTCAAGAATCTTTATATGTGTTGAAATAAATCAGTGATTAAGGCAAATAGTTGGCCTGGCATACTGGAGTTTTAAGATTAGAAAATTGTGTTTACACTAAAAACTAAACACACACACACACACACACGTGCATGCATGTACATAAGTATATGAAGGAGGACATAAACATTGATTGGGTAACAATACTTCACCTTGGGTTATGTTTTTGTGTGAATCCAAAAGAAAAGGAATAAGAATCAACCAGATTTTGAACATTAATTTTTTAACACTATAAGGGCAATTTATATATTTTACATAATTATGTCTTTTGAAATTTCACTAAAACATCAGCTTAGGGGCTGGCACTAAGTTTCCCCCTGCAGTGGTGGCATCCCATATGGACACTGGCTCCACCAGTTTGTATCTTGGCTGTTCCTCTTCCAACCCAATCTTTGTTCCTCTTCCAATCTTTGCTACGGCCTAGGAAAGCAGTAGAAGATGTCACAAGTGCTTCGGCCCCTGCATTCATGTGGGAGACCTGGAAGAAGCTCCTGGCTCCTGGCTTCAGATTGGCCCAGCTCCTGCTGTTGCAGTCGTTTGGGGAGTTAACCAGCAGATAAAGACCTTTGTCTCTGTCTCTCCTCTCTGTCTGTAACTTGACCGCTCAAGTAAATAAATAAAATCTTAAAAACAAAAAAGTCAACTTAATGAGGAAACTGAAATTTAACAAGCTTAATTATCTAATATAGTACAAATAATGAATAGAATATCCACCATTGAAATTCACTACTGATTTGTAATGATCCTACCCTTTTGAACTCCCAGCTGAACCACTGCCTTGCTCCTAACTTCCTTATCAAATTCTATACAGCAGGGGAAGACATCCTCCAAAACCTACCCTCCCCCCTACTTAAAAATCTGCTTGTGTTTGTCAAGGGAGTGTTATGAACTGGGTTGTAGAAGTCACCTGAAAAAAAAAAAAAAAAGATTTGTTAGGAGGGTTGGACATACATGTCAGACTTTTCCCCAAGACAATAAAGACCTTTGAATAAAGCTTGGGAAAACTCACATTGAATCAACTATATGGATGCCATGAAGCTTTAAAAAAACTATAGTAGTATAACACTCTTAACCATTGGTTTGACAATGGTATAAAACAAAGATGGACAAAACCATATTTGCAGCAATACCAGAATTTCCTTCTTTTATTTTTAATTGATTTTTTAAAATTTTATCTATGTGTAATGAATGACTTATGATAGATTACTATCACAGTGTACATCCACCATGTTTAAAGAGCTCTTCTCTTGCTGAGATGTTGGGAACTTTTCTGAAATACATTCCCCTTATCAAGGCCCCAAGCACAATTTCTGTTTTCATGAAAATTAGCAGTCATGGATGTCATTTTTTGGTGAAGCAAAAAATGGGCAGAAATATACATGAATGAAGGAGTTGCTATGCTATGTGTCCTTTCTCCACTCACTTTTGTTTTTATGTAGTATCCATCAATTAGTATCAATCATTTCACATAAATAATCAGGCACTCATAGATGACATTTGTATAGTACTGTACAATTTAAAAATTGTTTTCATACACATTTTATAATCAATTTTAATAATGCTGAGGTGTTAGCCATATTTTACATAAACTATGATTCTGTAATGAATCATAATTTTTGAATAAGAATGTAATTTTGTGGTGTCAAACAATAAAACGCTAGAATAACACAATTTTTCTCAGCACTTACTATAGTTTCATGAACCAATGTAGAGATGTGATTTTGGAATCTCAGACCATCTTCATTTTAATTGCCTTTGATGACAAAAAACTCGAAGACTCCAGCACTGTAGCAGAGTGGGGAAAGCTGCTGCCTGTGGTGCTGGCATCCCATAAGGGTGCCGATTCGAGTCTGGTGGCCTGGGAAGGCAGTAGAACATGGCCCAAGTGCTTAGGCCCCCCCTGTACCCATGTGGGAGACACAGAAGAAACTCCTGACTCAGAAGAAGCTCCTGCTTCCTGGCTTCAGACAAGCCCAGCTCCAACCGTTGCCTGCATTTTGGGGAGTGAACTAGCATATGGAAGACCTCTCTCTGTCTCTGTGTCTCTCTATAACTATTCCTTTCAAGTAAATAAATAAATCTTTTTAAAAAAACTAGAAAACTAATAATGGGCTTCTCTTTTAACTAGATTTGTAACATACAGCAAAAGTATTTTTCTGTGTATATCTAAAGTACTTTAGTTTTCTCAATAAATGACTCTACCAGTAAAAATTTGCATGACCACTATGTTCCAGTAATTGGAACATACTAAGACAATTAGAAAAAATCATAGCTGTCAAATATTGATTAAATTTTGACTACAAGAACATAAGTACAACAACAAATGATCAAAATTGTGTATCACTGAGTACTAAATTATGTTATATTGTTCATCCATGAAGTATTACTGAAGACTGATGAAAGAGACCTATCCTAGTAGAGTGAAAGAGTGTCTTAATTAGGAGTAAGATCTAGAATTGAGAACAAAGAATTGAATGAGGAATACTTTGAAAAGTAGTGAGATTAAGCTTAAAATGTGAGAAAATATGAAAATTAAAATTGCCGGTTTTTACAAAACCATAAACATTATCTTAATGAAAGATTTGAAAGTCTGATCTTTATAAACTGAGAAAAAAAAGAACATGTCAAGAACCCCCAGAAGCTACCTGAAGTTTATCAATGTGTGCTTCAAGACAAGATCAAACACATTTTGTGCATGTAAAATGTATTATAGCTTCATGACTGTCTTAACCAACAAATTGTGCTGCAGTATAACTGGGCGTTCGATATTCTCCATCTGGCACACTCATTATCTCATGACTAGAACAGATTTTGTCTCTCCTTTGTAAAATGACTTCCAATGGAGAATGTACTGATAACTTTAAATGTCTTTCCTGTTTGCAGCCAGAAGTAACTTTTCACCAAAATATAGATTTGAGAGATGCCAAAAAGTGAAAGGAATATGTAAAACATTTTGTGATGATGTTGAGTATGATTATGGATACTGCATTAAATGGAGAAACCAGTGCTGCATATAAACTCTGGAATACAGAAGTAATATCGACCATCAGATCTGAAACAGATGCATCTTATTTACTCAAAAGTACGTAAAAAGAAAAGATTTGTAAGCTTTAATGGAAAATGACTGTTAAATCATAAATGTATCTATATATGTGTGTGTGTATAATTATAGCTTTTTAAGCTTTTCTTAGAATAGAAATTTCTACACAAATAATTATCACTGAACATCTGGTCCTTATCCACAGTGCTGAATCAGAATAGCAAGGACAAGGTTTGAGGATAAAGGAAAGAGCAAGTTGAACCTATCAATGGATGATGAGGTAACAGGCTGATTTCTCAAGGAACTACCATTCTCCTAAGCTAGGGAAGTTCAGGTTTATAAGGAGTTTGGGAAGTTAAACTGTACTTGAGAGGACACGATTAATAGTACATCAGGAATTACAGATAAGGTCTCAAGAGTAAACAACCAAACACTGAAATTGGTTACAGTTCCAACGACAAGATTTTTGTTTTAGAAACCTCAAATGTCCATGCAATTTTTTGAGAAACATGATGAAGGAGAATTGATGGACTGATTTTAACACAAATGGAACATAACAGCGTGTTCTATATGGATGAGTAGCTGCAAAACTGTATTTGGCTGGAATTGGAAGGAGGCAAAGCATTGTGTTAAGAAATTCTTGTGGGCCGGCGCCGTGGCTCAATAGGCTAATCCTCCACCTTGCGGTGCCGGCACACCGGGTTCTAGTCCCGGTCGGGGCGCCGGATTCTGTCCCGGTTGCCCCTCTTCCAGGCCAGCTCTCTGCTATGGCCAGGGAGTGCAGTGGAGGATGGCCCAGGTGCTTGGGCCCTGCACCCCATGGGAGACCAGGAAAAGCACCTGGATTCTGGCTCCTGCCATCGGATCAGCGCGGTGCGCCGGCTGCAGCGGCGGCCATTGGCAAAGGAAGACCTTTCTCTCTCTGTCTCTCTCTCTCACTGTCCACTCTGCCTGTCAAAAAAAAAAAAAAAAAAAAAGAAATTCTTGTGTTGAGGCCAGTGTTGTGGCTTCTTGGGTTAAGTCATCACTGTGACATCAGCATATGGTATTGGAGTGCCAGTTCAAGTCCCAACTGTTCTGCTTCCAGCCCAGCTGCCTACTAGTGTGCCTGGGAAGATAGCCCAAGTACTTCAATCTCTGTCACCCATGGGAAACCTTGAGGGAGTTTCTAGCTCCTGATTTTCGACTGGCCAAATCCCAGTTATTGTGGCCATTTGGGGGAATGAACAAGCAGATGGAAGATATTCTCTCTCTCTCCTCTCTCTCTTTCCCTCTCTCTCTCATTGTGTCTTTCAAGTAAATAGATAAATCATTTTGTAAATGAGGCCCATCATAAAGTCTATGATTAGTAAGGTTTACTGTACCTTTAGTCACCTCTACCTCATTACACTCTGTTACATAATGGTAATGTTTCTGTTCTATGTGTATCTCTCTTTTCCCCTCCTTATTCCCCTCCCTCTCCCTCTCCTTCTCCTTCTCTCTTTTTCTCTGTATCCAATGAAGATAAAACTCAAAATATTTAGAAGTGCCAAAACAAAATATCCTACTAACATTTTTCTTTAACACTGATACATGCTTTGGTCACACAGTGCTTTTGCAATGTTACATTGAATGTGCTGTCCTGATCAGGTTCTCAAAACTGATAATGGTCAACTGGAAGAATATGAATCAGACTGTCTTAATGCTATCCTCAGCTTTGATTAAATTTTAGATTAGTTTCTTTCTGACCATACGGTCCTTAAGCTTCATTGTCTTATTTACTTATGTTAGAAAAATTGCAATTGTAAATCATTTTTTCTGCCTATTTAATATGTAAATAAATCTTCTCTCAGCCTCTTGTCAGCTGCTATTACCCAATACATGTCTTTATCAAGGACATGGGACTATTACTATGAAATTTACACATCAAAAATATAACATTACTATCTCCCAGTCTCCACAGGTGGCTAAGAACCTAGTTTTAGTTGGTACCAGTCGTCAAATAGATGACCTATTCAGAGAAAAGCATTGGAAAACTCGGGAATAACAATGTATTCAATGTAGTGCATTGGTAAACTTTCTCACTCCAATGTCCTCCAAAAGTTTTTTACTGACTCAATGCACCCCTCAACACTTTCAATTTTTAATTCATTGGATTTGAATTCCATCAGTCTCTAATGCAATAATCATAAAATCTTCCACTCTAACTTAGTCTACTACACTTTTACTTTGGCAAATAAAAGGACAAAATTTGGGATGGTAGACCTGAAGTGTTTAAGAACTATTCTCCTCAGTATTGTTTTGAAATGAATCAGAACAAATATTGCTGGAAATCCACTTTATGCTAAGAATGCTGAAAATACAAACTACATGTAGGAGTGCTGTGAGAAGGCAGTGAAAATTAAGATCAATTTTATTGGAATGGTCAGGGAAGACTTCAGAAAGGAGAAGCCATTTCAGGGTGGGAACTACCCTGTAAGTGTGGTTTTTTTTAGCTGTCCTTCGAACGTGATGGAGCCCAATCAGGTGTAGATCCTCAGTATATTTTTAGTGACTGAGTGGATGCATTCATAAATAGTGTGGATCTAAAGAATCACCTTGCAGAAAACTCAGACTTAAAGGCATAACATGGAAAAGAGGAAGACTGGGAGATTTCAAAGACTTTTAATGGAATCAGGTTAGAACTATAAAACACATTTTTAAGGAGGAATGGTGACATTTAATACTAAGTAATGTAGAGTGTCATGGAAGATGTGGTGTTTTAGATAAAGTGATCATAATTTAGTTTATTCTCAGTGAGATGATTCTATGTTGTATTGATTATATGGTCTCCTAGAACTAAGTGGTTGGGTAGATTAAGGTATTTCATGAAATTTAAGCTGTACAGCAATATGTGATATTTGTCTTTTTCACCAGTATTGTCATATGCTCTCTCTCTTCAGTTATTGGATAAGAAAGTATATATGTACAAAATAAGACTATTTTTGTTGTTCCCAAAATATACCTGAATTTGAATCTGTGAATTCATTAAGAGGCTCCACTCCTCCCTGTTTGAAATATTGACAACATGTTAAAAAAAAAGAGAAACAAACTTCTGAGTTTCATGAGGTTAAATTGGAAAATCCAAATATAGGTAGCAAATAAAAGAAATATTTATTATTTTGTTATGACAGGTCTAAAATATTTAGGTTTGGGTCCAGCATTGTGGTGCAGTGAGCTAAGCTGCTGCCTGGAACACCAGTATCCCGTATAGGTGCTCTCTTGAATTCTGGCTTTTCCACTTCCAGTCCAACGTCCTGCTAAGGTGCCTAGGAAGGCAGCAGAGAATGACCCAAATTCTTACTTCTCTGCCACCCATGTGGATGATCTGGATGGGTCTCTGGGCTCCTGGTTTTGGCCTGGACTGGCTCCAGCTGTTGTAGCAATTTGAGGAGTGAACCAGTCCACTTCACCTCAATATTTATATTATTCATGATGATACACATAAAATTCCTTTTTTTTAAAGATCAATTTACTATGTATTTATTTGAAAGATAGAGCAACAGACAAGAAATAGGAGAGAGGGAGAGACAGGGAGACAACTTCCCTCTGCTGATTCACTCCTCCAGTGGCCACAACAATCAGGTCTGGGTCAGGCCAAAGCCAGGAGCCAAGAACACCATCTACAATTCCCACATGAATGGCAAAAGCCCAAGCTCTTAGTCCACTCTCCAGTGCTTTCCCAGGCACATTAGCAGGAAGCTGGATTGGAAGTGGAGCACCTAAGATTGTAACCAGCACTGATATGAAATTCCAGTGTTGCAATCAGTGGCTAACCCAATGTGCAGCAGTGCCAGCCCTTCCTTACTATCTTTTTATTGTTTGTAGAATCCATAATGATAAAATTTCAGATATTATTTATATTGGGAACTGAGGATGTTTTTCCTCTTTTGTACCTGAGTCTTCTCAGTAAAAGGTTTACCAAATTTGTTATTGTTTTATTGATTGTTCTTGGATTAAAAAACATTGTTTCATTAGATAAATCACTGTTATGATGCTAATTCTTCTGTTTTATTTGCTTTTAATTTACAATGCTTTTTCTAGTTTACTAAGATGGAAGCCAGCATCACGCAATACTATATAACATTTCTTCTTTTCTGGTCCAGGCTTCCAGCCTTGTAAAATTCTCTCAAAGTTCAGTGTAGTTACATTACATCTATTTTAATAAGTTCTGTTACATTTTACTTCAGTATAGCTTATAACTACTATAGATACATTTTTTACATGAGCTTTAAGCAGTAAGTTGTTATTTAAAGTGATTTAAGTAGTAGGAAAAAAGGCTTTTTGTGGAAAATAAGATTTCTGCCAATGCACTACTATTGAAGATATTTACTTCCTAGAACACAGAGTGTGACTGCAGGGACTGATTAAGGATAGTTTATGACCTACTAACTAGAAGAGTTCCCATGTCTTGTCTCTCCTTTCACTTGGGCACTGCATCTGGTGCCTGGATAGGTAACTTTGGCACAATGTGCAAGGGATGGCTCACCAGGCTGGGCAAGGGTTACAGAAGCATCGCTCATCTCTTAGAGATCCAGGTATCACGAAGATGGGGAAGTCCATGTCACTGGCACAATGGAAACACAAGGCTGAACTGCTTTATCTCCTTCAGAAAGAGGGACACTCTTTATCAGAAAAGGTAATTGGATGCTTGCTGCAAAAGAATTAATAGTTGCTGCCATTGGTACCTTATGGAGGCGCTTTAAAGAAAATCCATTACAAGTTACATAAGGAGCCTCGAGTTCCTATTCTGGTTTTGCATGTGTGGTATCTCTATTGGAATGCTATTAGCAAGGTTAAGAGCCCCTTGGTGTCCCTCCCTGGCCAGGAGGGTTGGTCAATGGGCTGGGCCCCACCACCTCACAAAGAGACCTCTGCACTTTCTGTGCCCACTGTTGTGGCGATGGCATCTGAGTCCCCTTCAGTTGTGTCTGCAGTACAAGGTATGCTTCAGAAAGC